TAACTTGTTTCGCAGCTCCCCCTGCTCGCGCTCTCTCTCTCACACACACAGCTTGTACCTGGCAAATATTGCAGGTGCTCAGCACTGGGTCGGAGGGGCAGGAATGCTACTTCAAACAACAGATGTAGCACCCTAGAAAGCCATTAAGCAGAGTGGGATTTAATACATTGGCTAACTTGTTTATCCTTTTGTTTCTCACTCTTTTATTTTCAGGTTTCCTTGTAAGCTGCCAGCAGTCAGATGAGATGTGAAGCTGAGGTCCTGACCGCTTGCCATCACTTCCGATCCTGTGGAATCGTCAGGAGAGCTGGATGGTTTCGTTGTAGGGTCAATGTCAGATGGTCAGTGGCCAGAGGGTGACATGCCTTCCGAAATATTCCCCTGCCATTCTGCGGGGCAAGATAGTCTTCAGATCCTATCCTAAATTGCATGGCTTTGCAATGTGCCATTGAGGATTGAGCCAATGTCCATGGGAATCTTTTTATTGATTTCAGTGGGTTTGGGATCCGGCCCTTAAGGAGCTTTTTTGCCCTAAATGCAGCTGCATTTCAGTGATGGGTGAAACGAGCCTTGGTTGGGATTTTCTAAGCTGTCCAGGTGATTGACTGGCATGATTCTCTGTTGCTCTGCATCCTCTCATCATTTACACGAGTGCACAGTGGGTGTAAAATGCTACCATTCTGCACCCTCTTTGCACGGGTATAAATGACAACACAAGATGCAGCGTGACAGAATCTGAGCATATGTGTCTAATGGTATCTAGACAAGAAGGATGACCCAGTAATTAGGGCACTAGCCTAGGCTTGGGAGAGCTGTGTTCCGGTCCCTGCCCTGCCACAGACTTCCTGTGTGACCTTGGACAAATTACTTTTAGTCTTTCTGCCTCAGTTTCCCCAACTGTAAAATAGGGATAATAGCACTGCCCTACCACACAGGAGGTTGAGAGGTTAAATGTATTACAGAATGGCAAGTGCGCAGATATTATGGTAATAGGAACCGTATAAATAGATAGATAGATAAACCTCCTCGACTACTTTAAAAGGCTCAAGTTATCGGTAAAGTGCTCTGGGATGAACGGTGATAGATTAAATATGTAAAACATTATTTATTATTATAATATTTGGCTCTACATTCTTCTAGGTCATTCATTACTTTAAATCCATGCAATTGTAATATCATTGGTTAAATTTTATCCTGACATACATTTATTTCAGTGCCATCATTGTTATTATTTGTTGGCATTTCAGTTGCATTTACAGCCCCCCCCCAGTCAAGATCCAGACTTTATTGTGCTAGGTGCTGTACAGACACATAGTAAGAGACAGCCCCTGTCCCAAAGAGATCACAATCTAGATGGACCAGACAAGCAAAGGGTGGGAGAAAGGAAGGTTCATTACTAAGTCTGCGAATCATTCACGGAAGTCATGGCTTCTGTGACTTTCCGTGACCTCTGTGAATTTTGCAGCGCTGGTGAGGCTGACCCCAGGACCACCCCAGCAGCTGGGGAAGCCCGGGAGCCAGCTGCACCAGCCGCTGCTCTGGCAGCTCCAGGCAGCTGGTCCCCGGCGCTGCCCTGGAGCAGCGGTCCAGGACCAGTGGCGGTGGCAGCAGGGCCCCAGGCCACCCCCGCTTGGACCAGCAGCGGGGGGACCGCAAGCCATCCCCCACCCAGACCGGTGGCAGCAGCAGGGGCCTGGGATGCCCCCCGCTTGGATCCATAGCGGCGATGGCGGCAGAGCCCCGGGCTGCCCCTCGTCCAGATCGATGGCAGTGGGGCCCCGGCCTGCCCTCCACCCAGAGCAGCAGCAGGGCCACAGGCCACCCCTTGCCTGAAGCAGTAGCGGTGCCATGGGCCGTCCCCACCTGGACTAACAGCGGCAGGGGGCCATGGGCTGCCCCCAGCAGAAGAATGGCCCCGGGCTGCCCGCCCCCAGCAGCAGTCTTCAGGAGAGCCCTCCTCCCTGACTTTTTGTTTATTGCCTATGACCTGTCCATGACTTTTACTAAAAATACCCATGACTAAAACGTAGCCTTATTCATTACCCCTGTTTTGCAGATGGGGAAACCGAGGCACACAGATTAAGTGACTTGGCCATGGTCACACAAGGAGTCTGTGGAAGAGCCTGGTATATAACCCAGATATTCTGAGTCCAAATCCATTGCCATAACCACAAGATCATCCTTCCTCTCTGGCATGAGATATAGGTCGGCTCTGAATTTGACCCACAGTGTTTCCATAGAGCCAAATCTAGTGAGAATGAAACTTTTGCCGTTGTTTTCCAAGGGGCCAGGATTTGACTTCACTCAAGCATTGCGTTCCTAGGTGATGAGTAGACGGGAGCCAACCCAGGAGTACCCCTGCCCATGCAATGCAAAACAGAGTGCAGAGGGAGGGTCTGCAACTAGTCGGGATGGTTTGCTTACCGCGATCCCAGCTAAGATACGGTCCCGGTGTGGGCAGCACTCAGAACAGCAGAGTCATTCTGAGGCCAGCCACTTGTGGGGGCGGGGTGTGATCTTCCTTGGAAACTGGGAACTCTTAAAAAAAATTCCTTGCAGAAGAAGTTGCTGCCTGTGCAACAAACCCGTTTCTATGCACCCCAAGTATCCAGTGACCGTGTCTGGGAGCCATGGGCACCATTGATTATTGGTGATGTAACTTGGTGCTTGTGGTGGGCCTATAAAGGGCTAAGAGATTGAGCAGGAGCACACAGGAGAGACCAGAAAGCCCTGACTGCCAAGGAGAGACTGCTGCACTCTCTAGGTAAGTGATAAGTGTCTTCATTTCTGCTTGTGATAATGCTGCAATGGACAGTCAAAGCTCAATGGTTTCAGACAGGGTCAACAGAGGATAAAAGTTCCATTTCATGAAGGATTTTGAGATTTCAAAGCCTAGGCCAGGGGTCGGCAACCTTTCAGAAGTGGTGTGCCGAGTCTTCATTTATTCACTCTAATTTCAGGTTTCGTGTGCCCGTAATACGTTTTAACGTTTTTAGAAGGTCTCTTTCTATAAGTCTATAATAGATAACTAAACTATTGATGTATGTAAAGTAAATAAGGTTTTTAAAATGTTTAAGAAGCTTCATTTAAAATTAAATTAAAATGCAGAGCCCCCTGGACTGGTGGCCAGGACCCGGGCAGTGTGAGTGCCACTGAAAATCCGCTCGCATCACGCCTTTGGCACGTCTGCCTACCCCTGGCCTAGATTCTTTCCAAATGGGAGCAGAAAACCAAACCTTTCAGAATTCTCCATGAAGGAAGATTCTGAACAAAAAAAATTGTTTAGACATGATCGAATACAGGTTTTTTTTAAATCAAACCAAAAAGTTTCATTATGGAAATGTCAAAACAGGACATTTCAATGTTGCCAGAACTATTTTTTTCCCTCTGGTTTTCTTCCAAAACAAAATTCTGACAAAATTGAGCTTTTTGATTTTGGCAGAGCTGCATGTTCCAGTGGACTATGGTTCTATTTAAATTTCTCTCACCGGTTCTAGAGCTCATCCCTGGTCCCCTTACGTTCACCTTGAACTGTATGTCGCTAATAAGAGAAACAGCCTCTTCCTATCTGGGGATTGTCCCGATGCTAGAGCTGAGGACGGGGACTCAGGACTCCTGGGTTCTCCAGCGTGTTTTGTGGACTGGGGGGGTCTCCATGCTTCACATCCCTCTCTGTAAGATGGGGATGATGATATTTACCAACTTCATTGGGAGGGAGGTGGAGATTTAGTTCACTGTTAGGTGAAATTCACCCCTGTGCAGAGATCCTGCACAAAACACTATTCTAGATAAACCCTATTACAAGTGGGGCTTCAATGGCACATGGATCTCTTGCAGTGAATTTCACCCTGGAGATTTTAAAGCACGTTGAGCTCCTCAGGGGGAAGATCCTTTCCATTTTGGGGTTATCGTTATTATTGTGCCTTGTCCCCGGTCTCTTTCCTCTCTTCCTTCCTTTAACATCATTTGCCCTCCAACAATTCCTCTCTTAGTCCCCCCCCCCTCCAGTAACGCCCATTATCGTGGTATCTAAGCTCTTCTCCTCTCTGATTTCTCTCCTATTCTGGGATCTTGCATCCATTTTTCCATGGAGTTTAATTTCTTGTTGCTAATGAGGCTGCTGATGCTGCTGCTCTCAGTCTCCATCCAGATACATCCTGCTGAACTCTCAGAGATAGGAAGGGCCAGTCCAGCCTACCCTGCCACCCGCAGAGCTGCCATGGCAAGCATTAGTTAGTTGATTGCAACTCAACAGAAACTTTTAAACAGGAGAGATGCCTCAAGCCTAATAAGGGGGATCAACATCACAGTTTAATCCAGGAGGAAGGTGCTTTCTGCACTTCCCTCTCTGTATGAGCATTGATTAAACTGACTCCATTCTCATTACCTGCCTGTTAGACCCATCAGACAGTGGAATATGTGGCAGAGACTCAGGGAGTCTTATGGGAATAGAGCACTCCAGGAGATGCCCTGAACACAAGAGATGGAGCAGATGCAACTTCTGCCTAATGTCCCTTTTGATGTCCCTCACTGATCCTGAGCCAATGCTCGGGGGATAAAGGGCTTGATTGCTCATTGTGCTGTGAGTTGTGTTGTCATTTTAGACCAAAGGTCCCAGATCACAATGGTGGCATTTTACCGGAAATGCCAATGCAAGGTGCAGGGCAGTGTAGAATCCGGGCCAAAGTGCCCAGAATACCATGCTGTACTGATGCCCACCCTGGAATCTTCCCTCTTGGCACTTTCAAACGCTACCTGTGAAAGTAACTCACAAACAGCAAGCTATAGATTCGCCTGGCGAGGCGCTGAGCTGGGGCCTTAAAATATGAAAGATGTGTCCAGTTTACAAAGTAAGGAAGGGATGTTCAGTAGACTGGCTGGCTGGATAAAGTAAAAAAGCAGGAGCTTTTCTCCAGGAACAGAGAGAGAACAGCTTCACAAAGGGGTAGTAAGTGGGAGATGAAGGAGGTGACTGGGGTATTTTGGGGTGGGGGGGCAGTAGTTTATTGATGTTACGGAATAAATCAGGTGACACAAAAGAATGATCCTATTGAGAGATAATGTGCATCAGGACATAAGCATGGTAGAATCCTGTTTTAAGGACAGACCTAGGCAATCCCCTTTTGATCAGTACAGCCAAGCGATTGCTGCACATCACTAGGTCATGTGGTGCAACTGATTTTACAGCAGAATCCCCCAATGCAATCAGTAGGGCTGATAAGCCAGCCACTAACTGCCTAGGGTCAGGAAGAAACCTCCCCATGTGGGCAGGATATTACAGAATTGTCTGTTGTGGGAGTTTTTAGCAACTGGGACTGGCCCCTGTTGCAGAGGGGGGCTGAGCTTCCGTTGCCCCAGACCTCACAAAGTCATGTGCACCTGTGCAAAGTGAATGCAATTTGGGGGTAATCCACTACTGGGCCAGATCCTTCACTGTTGTAAATCAACACAGCTCCATTGATGTCAATGGAGTGACACCAGTTTACACCACCTTAGAATCTGGCCCGACCAGTCTGTTTTGGTAGCATTTTGCACAGGTGTAAATGACAACACTTAGTGCAGAACAGTGGAGAAGCAGACCCAAGACCAGCACAGACTGTGATCTGATACATAAGTTCTAGAGTTTTTTGTTCAGTGGCATCTGAGATGGCTCTCCCTTGGCTTTCCTGTGCTAGCACAATGCCAAAATGATCGGGTGGCAAACGCTGTGGGAGGGAATATTTGTTAGTTTCTATTGGTCTGTACAAGTTTATATTTACATGAAATCTAATTCTGGGGCCAGATTTGACCTGACAGAGTCCCTTTAATAATGCCTCAACCAAAAGCGTTTTGAAAATAATTAAGGATCAGGAATTGAGTAAAGCAGTTACGTAGTGGGACCAGACTTCATTAAATGTGTTCAAGAGAGAACGTTTTAATATTTAAAGAGGAGATTTAATGTTTACAGAAATCCTCCCTCTGATGTGAAATTGCTGTTAAATCAGGTTGGAAACTGGTTTTTAAATCCCTTTAAACTGGTTTCCTGTAGAGCTCGGGTGGCAAATGATGTCTGCAACTCTGTATGACCTAGCAAGATTTATTAAGGGGCTCAGCCCACCTGTGGGAGTTGCCCATACTGTCTTATAGGTCTCTTATGGGATTAGAGACACTAGCATGCTGGCTTGATCTCCCTCCTCCCCTAAAGTTTATTGAGGGAAAATAAAAATAATTATAGTAAAACAGTTATACTAAAGCTGCCAAATCATGACACTTCCCTCACTATGGAAGCTCAGTGCGATAGCTTGAAGCATTTTCCCCTGGGCAAGTCTGGATTTCATACACACTGTAACAGAGGCATAATACTGGCAAAACTGAATAGGTATTTAATGCTCCATATGACTGTGTTTTAAACGTAGGAAGTTACTGCCCAGGAACAGACCCATTCATGAGAAATGGCAGTGTCCAGTGCTTAGAGAGCAGTCCTGTTAATAAGGGCGCCTGGGTTGTATTCTCAACTCAGGGACAGAGTTAGAGCATAGGATCTGTACTCTGCTCTGACCACTAGACCCCACTTCCTAAAGCACGACCCCTTCGTTCTGTTCCCAGCTCTGCCATTGACTCAGTAACCGGGGGCAAGTTACTTTGCCTCTCCGTGACTCAGTTTCCCCAATTGTAAGATAGGGATAATGCAGTAGAGCACTTGGAGATCTTTGGGGGCAACGTGCTAGGTCGGGAATACAAAGTGTTATATTAAACCTGTTTATTAATTATTAATTATCCACCCAAAACCCAAGCATTCATCAAGTGCTGTGTATACAATTTAAAGTGCAAACTGGTATTACATAAGAACCTGCTTCATGAAAGCCCGCACTTAAACCGGAGTCTGTTGAGGAGTTGTAGGCAGGGCTGCGTGGAACCTTCCCTTTCACTGCATAAAGGCAGGATTTCTCCTCTGGAGCTGATTTCCCCTGCCCCACATCCTCTTCTGTGTTCATCTTCCAGGCTGCTAGAAGTCAGGCTGGGAATCGAGAGGCTCACGGCTTGAACTGCACCGAGGTGCTTGGAGGTGGCCCTTCCTCTGGCTCTTGGTTAGAAAATGAAGCTGCCTCTTTGTTAAGTCAGACCCCGATCCAGCAAGGGCCTTACGCAGGCAAGGAGTCCCAGTGAAGTCAATGTTTCAATGAACCAGTTGGTCCCTTGCTGTCTCAGAGCCTAAAACTGTTGCATTCTAGAGGTGGGAGTCTAGAAGTCCAGTCGGCTTAGATGACCCTCCTATGAAGAAGACGAGGCGGCTGTCAGTCACAGCTGCTGCAAGTTCAGAGGGCGTTCGTGTGTTTTAGGATGATGCAGTAGTCAAAGCAGCCTGTCAAAAGCTGGCACAGTTCCAAACTCTGCTTGCCAAAGGGAAGACAGTCTAGACACCGCAACCATCTCAAGGTGGGGAACTCAATGGGTATGTGCACCTTATAGCCAGGACGTCATTCTAACTAGAGACATGCAAATGTACACTTCATGTCTCAGTGTAAGTCAGACCAGGCCCTCCTCAGCCTGCAGTTGCTCCATACGTTTTTTAGGCCAAGATTTTCAAAAGCAGCTGGACTCACTGCCCAGCATAAAGGGGCCTGATATGCAGGCAATGCTGAGCACCTGCCCTCTGGAAACAGGCCTCTTTTAAGGTGTCTCAAGTTGGGCACCCAAAATCACCAGTCACTTTTGGAAATCTCAGCCCGAACCTTTAGACATTTGTTTTGTTCAGCAATGCAGAGTTCCGGGGACTTTGGCGGAAACCTTCCTTCCAGATCATTTTTCGGCAGCATGAGGGCTGCCAGGAGAGCGCTCCCAAATGCAAAATCTAAATGAAAATGTTCAGACTCCAAAGCAATTTTCCTTTGTATGAACTGAGAAATGCTTCCCAGCCGGTGAAGTTTCCCAGCTCTGTGCTGTGCAAACAAGCCCAGGTATCTTTACCCAAGTGCTTGCTGAGAGCACTTTGCCTCCTATAGCAGGTAAGCATCCCCAGCTGCCAAATCATATGGTTCACTGGGTGTAGATCGTGTGGGGGGTCAATCCTGTAGGGAAGTGAGAGTTGCAATTGTGGGGTGTTTATCATTCTTAGGAGTGGGCCATTGGCTGGAGGTCAGGCCCTCAAGGGGATGTTAGACTGTCACTCAACACCTAATGTCAGTGACAGAAGCAGCTTGGAGAACAAATATGAAGTCTACGGCTATTGATCAGAAATAAAGGCCAAAGAAAGTTGTTTATTAAACCCAAGCTCCGTGTCCCAGGAAGGATAAATTGTCTGAACTATAACTCAGGGTTATTCCTTTCTGGACATGGCTCTTTGTTCCTGATCTTGGTTGAACTGCTGTGCACCGCAGGAGGCAGCCATCCCTGCTGGCATGTTCTGACCCTCCCCTCTCCTGTGTTGCTCAGGCTTTCTCAAGCTCCATGATGGTTTCGAGGAAGGTGGTGGCTTCTCTGCTGGTGGTGTACGTGGTGGCCATGCTGGCTGAACAGACTGAAGGCTACCTAGCCTTCTTCACTCGCAGCGACATCGAGAGGATGCAGGTAACCCCTGAGCACCATACTGCAATGGCCAGAGCCCCGTGTGGTGCAGAAAGGTGCATCCTGTGCATGCTTCCCATGTGTAGCTCATAGTTCATCCCCTCTGAGCAGAGACAGTGCCTGTTTGATAGATGGTTTCATAGATTCATCAAGTTTAAGGCCAGAAGGGACCACCAGAGCTAGTCTGACCGCCTGTCAGGCAGAAGCCACTACCTACAACCCAGCCACTTCCACACGAACCCCAGCCACCAGAATCAGACCAAAGTATCACAGCCCTCATGAGACTAAACTATTTTGCGTCACGGGTAGAGAACAGGAGGCACTGAGGTGCACTAATGCCTGAGGCCCCTGAGGTGGCAGGGAATTGATTGAATGAGAACATACCCAGATGACCCTCATCATCCACTAGGGGTCTGGCTGAGAGCAGCAGGCCCATTTCTCTTATGCCTTGAGCCAACCAGTCTCCAGAGGTGAAGGGCTAGTGTGCTAACCCACTAAATCCTCAAATGCGCCGGTGCCAGGCCTCACGCAGCGCAGGTGAGAAAAGACAAGGGGGATGATTTATTTAAGCCCACGTTGTTGGAAAAGTGGGGCAAGTCCAGGGGAACTGGCTCAGTTTATTCTCAGTGGTGCTGTGGTGGAGCTGGTATCCCTTGAGAGGGTTCAAACCACCAACCTGTCAGGCAACAGCCTAAGACTGTACTTATAGGGTAATCGTCTACAAGCATGCTCAGAGTGCTGACTTTGGCCCTGATTCAGGAAATCGTGTAAGCCTGGGCTTAACTTTAAACACACATTTATGTGCTTGCCTGAAGAGCAATGCTTTTCTTAGCTGGGGCTTTCAATGGGAGACGAACCTCAGGCCAACATAGTTCTTACTCATGTAAAGCTCTCAATGGGTCAAAGGTTCAGACCAGCTCTCTCAAGTCCATCTCTAGTGGAAATGTAGCTGGAACAGACTCCCCCTAGCACGACAGGTCCCACAGCAGTACTGGGATGTGCTCGGCAGGGCAACTTACAGGATCCTCAAAGTGTGGGAAGCACTTTATTCACCAGTCCCGCAGAGGACTTTGAGTGAAAGACTCAGGATTAGACTGCAAGAGCCAGGATTCAGTTGAACATAAAATAGGATAGTGGAAACAAAAGGCCCATTTACATTCGTCTGTGGATATTTTTTAACAGTTTTCTTTTATAATTGCTAATGGCTCGGATTTTTATGGAGGAGCTGCAATCTCCCGTCATAATTCTGCTGTGCCTCTTTGTTCTAACAAATAATTAACCATGCGCCAAATAGGTTTCAGTTCTGGGACACGCATAGAGGAAAATCCTTTTCTTTTGATGTGAAACTAATGCTACTGAAAGATGCCAGGCTGACAGCCCTAGAGCCTGATGTTCTCTGTTTTCACACAGCACAGGCAAGCTTCTCACCCACCACCACCTCCACCTCCACCTCACCGATGTGCTTCATCTTGGAGAGACCATGGGTCAAATCCTGGCCCCATTGAAATAATTGGCCAGACTCCCCTTGACTTCAATGGGGCCAGGATTTCACACCCTGTCTAGGAATTAGCAGGGATGGCCTATTGTTCCCTTGGTGTGTCTGCTGAGCATCCATGCGGCCGCTTCTTGGGTGTAGCATGGTCATTCTTCACCACTATCAGAGGCCAGGGGAAGTATGTGGATCCAGTTTAAACAATAAGGCAAACTAATGAGAAATGGGAAGCAGCCCTGAAAGCTTCCCCATTGTGTCTCAGCACTGACCTATAGAATGTACACTGATGTGGACTTTTGCAGTGTATCATTCACCAGTAGCCCATACAAACTCGCTTCCCCCTGGGGTGCTCATCACAATCAAGAGTCCTCTTGGGTGAGAGGGGAGTCCCTCTTATTTGTTGTCCAAAATCTGCCTCTCTCACACTGAAAATACCCCTTTTAAAATTCAGTGTGGCAGTTAGGGCAGCACTACGGACCCACCTCCAACAGACAGACCCACCTCCAACAGACAGACCCACCTCCAACAGACAACCACTCCAAAGCCCCCCCAGCGGGTTCCCAAAGCCATAGTATGAAACCTTTCAACCCCCCTCAATTTTTGCTGCTCTCCTGCGGTTTGCGCTGAGCAGGGATTTCACTGCATATATCGTAGAGGGACAATACAACCCGCCCCAGAATGGCCTATCAATAACGCATAGCACAAGTGACATGCTTGATGCTGGCAAAGGGGCTGGACAGGAATAGACTAATTAAACCTCAGCACCCCTTCCACGATGCTGCTGAGTATCAGTATTTATTCTACAGATGAGGAAACAGAAGTACGGGGGGGGCTGACATGACTTCCTCAAGGTCACACAAGGAGCCAGTGGCAGAACCCGGGTTAGGAGTCAGAAATGCCTAACCCCAAGCTCAATCCACTTGGCTGCCGTGCTTCTCTGGCCACCAGTGCGCATCCACGTCTCTTAGCAGATCAAAGAAGTTACCTTCTACTGCATCATGCCGTAGAGCTTTAGGCTGTTAACTGAAACGTTGGTTTGAGCCCAGGGCCCACCCAAGGGATACCAGCTCTTTGACTTTTTGTCTGTACGATAGGGTCTGACCCAGTGTCTGCTGAAATCAATGGGAGTCTTGCCAGTGGGCACTGGATCAGGAGGATGGCAGGGAATAATCCTGCACTGGTTCCCAGGAGATGGACTGAAGGTGACTCATTAGGTTTCGCTGGTTTCTTATTTCTCTGGTTCAATGCCCTGTTCAGCTTGGCAGTTCTCACAGGTGAAGGATACACCAGCTGGCTCTCTTGATCTGCCAAGGGATGCGCTTGGTACCGGAATAACAGCTGGTGTCATGTCGGAGCGGCATCAGCAGCAAGGACAAGGCGGCACCAGTAAGAGATGAACCATGCAAAGGGAGCAGAGGATTTGTAAGGAAAGGAATTCCCATTTACAAACCCAAGTCCAAATCCTGCTCCCTGCTCTTAGCCCAAGTGACTCAGCTCGGTGCTGGAGAGCTCCGCTGCATGTGGATTCCCTTCCACCAGGTCAACTCACGGCCATGGAACTGCTCCACGGACCCTACTCCAGTGCGCTTCACCCTTTGCTGAACAAGCAGCCACTCTGCCCCACCGTGACCCTTGTCCCTGTGACCTTCCTGATCCTTGGTGTTTGTTCTTTACTGTACCTTGCCGTGTAACTGCAGGAGAAACAGAGGAACAAAGCGCAGAAGAAATCCCTGATGTTGCAGAAGCGATCAGAAGGCGGAGACGTTACCGAGCTCTCTGACGTGGAGCGTGTGGACGAGGGCGAGATCATCAAGGTGAGGGGAATGGTGGAGGGGACCCGTAAGTATATGAGGAAACAACACAGGTGCATTTGGATGTCCAATAACCACGTTGGCTGACCAGATACAAACATATGAAGCCTACCTATATGTGTACGCTGCTGCTCTGTTAGGTTCTAGTGGCTTCTGCAATAGAAGACAGTAAGTGAGTGCCACTAACAGGCTTAGGAATTGTTTAAAGGGATACTACCCAATTCCTACAAACTGGACCCAGGCACTGAGCAAGTTTACATCAGAAGATGGGTGCAGGGTGCACCTCAGCCTTAAAAAATTGTCTTGAAAATTTCGTAGCTCAGCCCCTGAGTCTACTTACCCTGCCTGGCATACTAATGGTGAAAAATCTACCGATCTTTTATTTACCTCTCAATAAACACCTACTACTGCTGCTCAGGATTTTGCAAGTCTGCTTCTGGCTTTTGGTTTGGGATTTATCTTGATATTTACTAAAGTAGGCTTGTTATCACCTGTGAATTGTCCAGCACCTTTGAACCTGCAGGATTCCTAAGGACCTTGTAGAGCGGGTACCAAGTTTACAAACTTGAGTCCATCCAGCTTCACTGTTGGACTCTTAAATCAGCACTCTGGGGCAGAAAAATACCTGTTTTAGAACATAAAAACATATTGGGCCATCTAGCCCAGCATTCTGTCTTCTGACAGTGGCCAATGTCAGGTGCTTCCCAGGGAATGAAGAGAACAGGGCAATCCTCATGTGATCCGTCCCTTATCATCCCGTCCCAGCATCTGGCAATCAGAGGCTTAGGGACACCCAGAGCTTGGGGTTGCGTCCCTGACCATCTTGGCTAATAGCCATTCATGGACCTATTCCCCATGAATGTAGTTAATTCTTTTCTGAACCCAACTATGCTCTTGGTCTTCACAATATCCCCTAGCAATGATTTCCACAGGTTGACTGTGCATTGTGTGAAGAAATACTTCCTTCTGTTTTGTTTTAAACGTGTTGACTATTAATTTCATTGAGTGACCTTGGTTCTTGTGTTATGTGAAGGGGTAAATAACACTTCCTTATTCAATTTCTCCAAACCAGTCATGATTTTTATAGACTTCTATCATATCCTCCCTTAGTTGTCTCTTTTCCAAGCTGAACAATCCCAGTCTTTTAATCTCTCCTCATTTGGAACTTGTTCCATACCCTTAATCATTTTTGTTGCCCTTTTCTGTACCTTTTACATTTCTAATATATCTTTTGAGAGATGTGGCGACCCAGAACAGCACGCAGTATTCGAGGTGTGGGCGTTCCATTGATTTATATAGGGGCATTATGATATTTACTGTCTTATTATCTTTCCCTTTCCTAATGGTCCCTAACATTGTTCACTTTTTTGACTGCCACTGCACATTGAGCAGATGTTTTCAGAGAACTATCCACAATGACTCCAAGATCTCTTTCTTGAGTGATAACAGCTAATTTAGATCCCATCATTTCGTATGTATAGTTGGGATTATGTTTTCCAATTTGCATTTATCAACACTGAATTTCATCTGCCATTTTGTTGCCCAATCACCCAGTTTTGAGAAATCCCTTTGTAACTCTTCAGTCTGCTTTGCATGTATCTTGAGTAATTATGTACCATCTGCCAACTTTGCGACCTTGCTGTTTACCCCTTTTTCCAGACCATTATGAATATGTTGAACAGCACTGGTCCCAGTAGAGATCCTTGGAGTACTCCTCTATTTACCTCTCTCCATTCTGAAAACTGACCATTTATCCCTACTCTTTGTTTCCTGTCTTTAAACCAGTTAGTGATACAGGAGAGGACTATCCCTCTTATTCCATGACTGCTTAGTTTGCTTAAGAGCCTTTGGTGAGGGACCTTGTCAAAGGTTTTCTGAAAGTCCAAGTTTTTTTAGGCATCTGCGTGCTGATCTGAGCCCTTGGAGGCACGTTTGCTCAGTCACCCAAGTTAGAAAATTGGGCTCCTCTATTACAGCCCAGGGATAGTTTCACCCACCAGGCAGTGCAGCCACTTCTGGGTTGGAAATATCACTATTCTTCATCATCAGCAAAGGGAAAGGAGAAAAAATGTGGATCCACGGGAAATGTAGCTAGGTAGGATGTAAAGTCTAGCTGAGTTGGAATTTGTCCAGAACATTAGTTAACACATCTGCTCTTCCAAAACTGTCTAATATTAGTGTCTAAACACTGAGCATTCTCAGTCTTAAACATTAAACACCAGGCACATCCTGGTGTCTGACCACCACCCCCAAATGTGGCCTGAGCAACTCGTTCACTTTTGTTACATCCTAGCAACAGCTGTCCTGAGGTGCTGGATGCAGAAATGTGCCTCATCCTACAGCTCTTACTCAGGCATCGGAGTCAATAGAACGACTGGCCTGAGAAAGAGTTGCAACATGGGGGGTTATCAAGTTTAAGGATCACTTTCTCCTTTGGGACCTCTGCTAATTGCAGAGGCCGTATGCTGTTCGTTGCCAGTGGCCTATCCGCCTACATTTCCAAGCCAACATCTGGATGACCCAATGGATTGAAACTCTGGGACATCTAGCAACCCAAGAGTGAGTAAATAGTTCAAGGACTGCCCTCAAGGCCACTTATCCCTTGTGAAGACCCAGTCCACATCAATATCCACCATACTAAGGGTGCAGTCCCTCTTCCCATTCATGTCCGTGAGGAAACTCCCATTGATTCGAACGATGCAGGATCAAGCCCCAAATAGGAAACTAAATCAGCCCAGCTTTATTCCATGTGACGGAACTTCCAGCTTGTTCCTAGTGCTACAACTTCCAGTGGCTGGCTACGGGGTTGGCGGGGAAAACTCCAGCAAGTTGTAGCACTTAATTCTGTGCACAAGATCCCTTGTTCTTCAACATCGATAAAGTAGGAGGTGTGGTTATCCATCTCCCCCCGCTCCATTTTCCCTTTTTTGTTAACTATGCTTTCCTTCACAGCTGACTGCACCTGGAGAAACTGGAATGCGGCTCGACCCTAGGCAGCTGGAAAAATACCAGCACATCCTGGAGGAACTGCTAACTGAGATGCTACTGAACGCTCAAAATGGTACTGTAAGGAACTTGAACTGTGCCTCTCTCCCTCCCCTAGTGATAATTCTGGGAATGGCTTTTGTGTCATATTTGCTCCCTTTACAGAGTCCTCATTGTCCTCCCCTCCCACCATGGATACACTCTGCGCTTAAGAACATTAAGCTCCCTTCTCATTGCCCAGATGGTCTCTCGGTGCTGCTGTTGATCGTTACAGTGACTTCGCACCATTTCCAAGCAGCCACCCTTGGTACTGCTCCCCGCGTTCACGTCCCTCCTCCGTGGCCAGGGAACAATCTTGTGAACACATTGTTCCAGCCGTTTGAAAATGTGTCAGCATAAAAGCAAGACGGAGGAGCTGCCTTCTCCTCCTGAATGGGTATTAAGGGCAGAACGCACATTACAGGCCAGCCCAGGTGGGGCACTGAATAGCTAAGGGGAAATCAGTGGGAATTAGGTACCTAAATACTGGGCTTTGGAGTCTGCTTCTCTCTTCCCTTAAGGCCAGAGTGTGACCCATCCTGGACACCAACCAAGGGGACTAAAAGAGGGTGTAAGACTCCCTCTTACTCCATTGAGCTGTCTACTCACACCAGGGGTACCAGCGCAGAGGGGATAGCAGCCTCCCTTGGGCTGCCAGTCCCCATACATATGCGAGTGGAGCTTGAGCTCCACCCCACAATGCAATCAGTGCAGTTGTGTCAGCATGCTGGGGACATCCTCTGTGTGTCAGAGATGGCATATCTATGGGTGATCTTACTGTATTAAATATTATGCATTGTTGTGGGCCAGGGATTGTATATAATTCCCTGAGGGAGCCCTCCAGTAGCTAAGAACAGGGGTGGGTGTTGAGGCAAATTCACTCAGACTGGAACACCTCACAAGAGGTCCCACCCCCTGGGAGGGCTTGCCTATACTGGCTCAGACTGGATTCTTTAGAGACCAGCAGACAAAGAAAGGACTTTTGGATAAATAGCCTGAGTTTAAAGTGACTCTGGGCCTACTTTCTGATCCAACAACTGGATAGGACCTTCTGTCCCAGGGACACCCCAGTCCTTCCTGGAAAGGATTGGAAGGACTTGACCTATTCATGGGGGTTCTTGTTCTGAGCAAAAGGTGTTCTAAAGTTATAACCAAAGAAAAACCCCGTGGTGGGGTTGGAAGGGCTGACTTCTACCAGAGCCCTTGTTGGACTTGGGGGGGTGATCTCTGGTAGGCTTATTAGCACATGTGTAGGTTCTTTTAGTGTTTTAATGTTTTCTCTGTAATGCTTTCACCTTAAGAATAAATGTGCTTGCTTAGAAAGGGCTGTGCGGTAGCTTGTATCTGTGGGCAATTACGTTCCTTTTAGCCTCTGGGGAGAAGCAAACCAGACCTGTTTAGTCAGTTTGACTTTCTGAGGAACTCACGGTATAGGCAGGCGACTTGCTGCCTGGTAAAACCCGGTCAGGAGGAAGAGAGAAATCCATCTGCACCCAAGAGAGGTGACAGCTGAGGAGTTGGGAGCCTAGAGTGGGTGCCCTTGCTGGACCACAAGAGGAAAATATAGGTGCAGTCATGACACACTGCACCAGCTGTATGCCTGACACCGTGTAAGTTCCCTTCCCCTCCACACCTCCACAGAGGAAGGAGAAACTAGGGGCACAGTCTACTTCCCAGTCTACTGCTTGGACAGCACAACTCAACGCTGTCCTGTACATGGGGCTTATGGCACAGCCACAATTTAGTCTTTGCTTTCTGTCCCAACACCCACTGAAGTCAAAGGGAGACTTTCCATTGTCTTCCATGAGTACTGGATCGTACCTTTATAACAGTTACACATCAGTGTATCTCCAGTCTCTTCAGTGCAAATATTCTCAGTTTACAGGGGTGTGACAGAGATCAGAACCAGGCTCTTGGTTTTGCCAAGTTGTAGGTATTTGGGGGAATGTTGCTGTACACAGAAACTTAAGGGCTAATTGAGGTTCTAATTGTTCAGCCCTGAAATCAGTGGGGTTTGCCTTAGCGAGGGCATTAGGGCCAGATCACGCATCTCTTATTCACACTGTTGTGCACATATGCGAGTCACCCCACTGAACCCAATGGGACTATGTGAGTAAATGCTCAGCAGAGCAGTATGCAAAAGGACTGTACAATACAGCCCTAAGTAAACAGTGAGTAACAACTAAGGATCTCAGGATTTAGGGTGACATTTTCAGTAGAATGCAGCACCCGTAAGTTAGGCCACATTGGCCAAACAGCTCAGCACCTGCAATCGAGGCCAAATTTTCAAAGGAGTTAGGTGTTGAGCTCTCTGGACTTCTGGCCTCTATTTAGATGTCTGAATGGGAGCTGAACTCTGAAACTCAGGCCCCGATTGTGTTGCTGAGCACTTGAAAGCCTAGCCCTGAGCTCTTCTGATAACCTGGCCCTCGGTATGTAAAAACTAGAGGCAGAAAAATTCTGTGACAGTAGGTTATTTAGTCAATTCTTGCATGCACTGTTGGGGAGCAGTACGGGATTGTGATCTACAGTCAATTCTCCGGGGCTTTATCCAGTCTAGGTTTAAATAACCCTAGCAACAGTGCTTCCACCCATTCTGTGGGATTACTGCTCCAATTCAACTGTGCTGGTTTCAGTTTGTCATCATTTCTTCCAGAGTGGAAGTTGAGGAGGGTGGGTATTGCATATAAAGCTGTAAAGGACTGAAAATTGTACATGAGGCTTCTAAAGGATTGGGAATTGTATGCAAAGGACTAGGAACTGTAGAATGAATAAGGACTGTATAAGGCTTATAAAGGACAGGGTATTATATATAGAGGACTGGGTAATGTATGTGTGGCTTATAAAGGACTGGAAAAAAATTATTTATATATATATATATATATATAGAGAGAGAGAGAGAGAGAGAGCCTATGAAGGACTGAATTTGTTCTTTCCTCTCCTTGCAGGTAACTGATATCCTCAGACCCAGAAGAGCAGGGTGATGCTGCTTGCTGGACTACAGGTCTACGCTTCTGCAAGACTAAATCTGTAAAGTGCTTCAAAAGAAAAAAATCTGATGCGAGCTAATAAAATGTGCAGATGAATTAAATAAATGACTTGTTTCTTTCAAATGTCTTTAATAATCAGACAGTGAGCTCCAAGTGCAGGAAGGACTCAAAATGGCTCTACATCATGATGCTTTCTAGGTGTATAGAATAGCACCTTTAGTCTGAAGAGCTCAAGGCACGTTGCACACACTGAGTAATTAGGCCTCACTCACCCCAGTGTGGATAAATATTGTTGATCTCATTTTACAGATGGGGAAAATGGAGGCAGAGGGTGGTTAAGTGATTTGCCCAAGGTCAAACAGCAAAACCCCTGAGACTGTCCATCCCTGGTCTAATCACTAGAGAATGTTGCCTTCAAGAGCTTGGAATAGGACCCTGGAGTCCTGACTCGCTGCTTCCCAGTCTGACCACTAGAGGACACACTCTCCCACAGCTGGGAACAGAACCCAGAAGTCCTGACTCGCAGTTCCCTGCTTTAATCACTACAGAACATTCCCTCCTGATAGACCACATATCACGGTAATATTGGCAATTCACCATAACTATATGAAGATCCATCTTACTGACAGGTGCACTTTACCCATAGTTACTACACTGTGAGTACACACGGCTTATGGTCCATGCTCACTTCTGCCTTGCAATAACACAGATTCATGTTTATTTCTACTTTGCAAACACAACTGAATGTAAAGGATTAATTCCACTTTAATGTAATATTAATTACGATGCATTTACATGCCTTTTGCTTAATTAAGAACAGTCACTCTATAGGTTCCCTGGAATTTAACATCCATAAGGTGTGAAATAGTGAGACAAATGATACGTCTGAGTGACAAGTATCCAATTCCAATCCAATTTTATCCTCCCATTTTAACATAAATTCTGCTGTCACTGTGGATCATTTAAATAGCTGCAGTGTTAGTGCCAAAATAACACACATGAGATTGGAACTGCTCTGTACTTTATGTTTTGAAAGCCAGTCCCCCCTTAGGAGAAGATAAATCTCCTCCCATATAACAGTACATGTGGTCAGGAGTGCTTGCCAGCTTTAACATGCAATTCAAACACATATTTCCACTGCACAGACTGATCAGGCTAACGTAGCTGGAGTTGAGCAGGGATTGTTGCTGAAGGGGCAGGTCACTGATAACTGGATCTGAGGAGGGAAGATAATGAATGCGATGCACTCAGCAAGGCTGAAATGAAAAATGTGCGGTCTCATAGGGCAGGATCTTTGGCTGGTGTAAATTAGCTTTCCATGTTTGCACTAGTTGAGGATCTGGCCCACTGACTTACCAGATTACAGCGTAAGTGAGATCAGAGACTGGCCTGTTGTTCTTAATGGGGCATTCACTACAAACCTGAGCTGTTCCCTCCTATGAGGGGAAAACCACGGGACAGGGAAGGAAAACTGGGTGAGGCTCTTCTTGAAGGAAGACCTAGGAGGTTCTGCTCCCAAGCCCTGCAGATCTCCTGGCAGCTGTGTGGGTCTCAGACTTGCTCCAGGCACAAGGCTGCACCCGCCCGATCTCTTTCACCCCACTCTTTGTGACGCTGCCCTGTGAGGGCTTCCCCAGTTGGCAGATGCCCCCAGAGTTTCCCCCATGCAGGGACACTGCCCCGTGCAGAGGAGGTTCCCCAAAAGAGCCTCTGGCTGTAGCAACTTACTCGAGCTTTGTCCTCAAGGCTGGCAATGGGCCGAGGCAAAATCTCACCGCCCCAGGGGTGGAGCCCACAACCTGAGGAGACTTCCATGGAGTCTAAGGGAGGGGTGGTTGGTGCCATGGACATAGTTGACCCTGTCTCCCATGCAGGAGGCATGAGATCCAGTTGTGGCTCTAAGGAGTGCGACCTCCCCCTTCAGATTTTTACCTGGGCAGAAGATGGCTTCGCCAGTCAGTACATAGTTCATGACTCTTCAGCTGATGCACAAGGCGGAGTAGAACCCAGCTCCCTCTCCAGTAGCTCTGCAGGGCTAAGAGGAGTTAGAGAGAGAGAGAATGAGAACATACTTTCATCCCTGTCTGGCTGATCTGACTCCAAATACACACATGAAACAGTTCTGAGCTGTAAGAAGGGGCCATCTGTACAGTCAATTTTCTAACCCTCGCCATCATCAGAACGGGCCCCTTTCTAGCCTGACCTATTTTGACATGGTCCTTTTAACTAGCCTTCTCCTTTCTGCTGGTGCTCTGTATACACACTCACTTTTCCTTTCCCTTCAACCTGCCTGCCTCTGATGTGCACCCCTGTAATGAACCAAACAGAAAACCAGCTCCTGCACCCATCTGTATGCACAGCATCCCGGCCGGCTGCTTAGAAGTGTCAGTTCTTTTCCTTTCCCTTTTCCCTCCTATTGTCAGCATTCGATTACCACCATCAGCTCAAATAATTCCTTTCGCTAGCAGCAGCTCATCCAGTTTCCAGGGCAGCAAACTCCATTACCTTACCGCAAGCCAATACGTGGGTAGCTGTGAACTCACCTCTCAAGAAACTGATCACATTTTTCTCTAGCTAAGCTGGAGGGTGGGGAAAAGAAAAAGAGGAACTAAATACAGGGCCTTAACCTCCTCAGAAAGCCAGGCAGACTCAGGACATGTCACATGATCTGGCCAGAGATAAGAAAAGTTCCAGTCGTATCTATGGTGCGCTCATGAGCGATGGGGTGTCTGGCGGGCACAAATACCCTGTGAGTATCCAGTGTAAGGGAAAAGTATCCCACACCACGAAAAGGGGTGTCACCAACTAACCATGTAACTAGAGAGAGCTGGGTCAAGGCTTGGAACTACCTTCCCTCTTGTACTGGGTGGGGGTTAATCGGCTACACCCCTTTTCATCATGTGGGATACTCCCTCTCTCCCCCCCTCCGCGCCCCCTGCATCCAGGAGGTGCATGGGGATGGTGCAGCCATGACTCCACATCTATCTACTCACTCAAACCTTCCTCTCCCTTCAGGTAGGGAGCATCAGAGAAGCCGCTCCGGCTGGCCCGCTACCACAATCTAGGCAGATCTAAGGCAGTCATGCTGGTGTGGGGAGAGTAACTTCTCCCTGCTCCCCCACGTGGCCACGTTAGTCTCAGCCATGGTCAATCCTACAGTAACTAAAGCAGGGATGTTCAAAGTCACCACAGGGACTTGAAGGCCCAGTTTCTATTAATTTTAATGGGAACCGGGGGTTCAAACTTAGGTGGCTTTGAACATTTCAGCCTGTCTCTGCAAACTTCTTAGGGCCTGATTCTGCCATCTATATGCACACTGGGTGGCACCTCACTCTGCATGTAACCCCATTGAAATCAGTGGGGCTACTCATGGACTACGGTACCACACAACATGAGCAGGAGTGACAGAAAAGGGCCTGTAGAAACTACAACTAGCAGACCCAACAGTATCTATAATCTGCACTCTGGGTGAGACACTGGAGAAAAACAGGTAGCTGCTTAGTAGCTAATGGTACTACAGGCCAATCTACAGCCTTAAACAGAAGTAGCCATCTATCATCTTAGACTGTGCTCATCACCGTGGTATCTGTGCACCTTCGGCAAGGGTAAGTGGGCAGCCAGGTCACGCCATGAGGCTCAGTTTGCACTAGTTTTCTATAGGGGGGGGGCTTGGGTTCCACAGAAGGAGCAGGGGTGACAGCCTCCCTGGGCCTACACAGGGGATGGAGGCCTTGTCTTGCATAAGGGCAGACCCTACACATCCTTATCCAGTCCCTCTCATCCTCCTTTCTGTGTGGTAGGCAGGGCCGGCTCTGGCTTTTTTGCCGCCCAAGGCAAAAAAGCCTCCCGTCACTCTGCCCCCCCCCAACTCCCAGTGGGGAGCGCGGCAGGGGAGGGCACCGAACCCGGCCGCGGGCCCGCTCCCCCCGACTGGCCGGAGCACCGGGGGGAAGGCGGAGAGCCCGGCCGGGGCTCCGCTCTCCCCGGCGGCCAGAGCGCCGGGGGGGAGGGCAGAGAGTTCGGCCGGGGCTCCACTCTCCCCGGCGGTGGGAGCGCCGCGGGGAGGGTGGCGAGCCCAGTCGCGGCCCCGCTCTCGGGCCGGAGCGCCGCACCGCCCCCCTACAGATGCCGCCCCAAGCACATGCTTGGTGGGCTGGTGCCTGGAGCCAGCCCTGGTGGTAGGGCTGAAGTAGTGAAGCCACAAATCTCCCCGCCCACTTCCTCACCAGCAGTTCTGGGACCCCTCTACTCACTGACAAAGATGGGCCAACCCAGCCCATAATTATCTATATAATTATCCCACTGTAGCTGCCATTCAATTGCAGAGGTAACAGCCAAGAGGAATTATGATGAAACCTGTCTTAAATGTTCACTCACGGGACCAAAACAATCAGTTGCTTAAAGAATATAGCCTGCTAAAATAGATGGGGGCAGGATTGAAGATTGGCCTTAAAGTCCATGAGTTTATATTTCAGTGTGGTCTCTGAAGACAGGCAGTCGCCCAGTGAATCCTAATGCTGGGCCAGACTCATTCTTGGCATATCCCCACTGACATCCATGCAAGGTTACAGTAGGCATGAATATGGCCTGGTCTCTTAACTAGGGATGGGTGCCCTTAAAATGGGTGGCATTTGGACTGGGTTTGCATGCTTGGATGGGTTTGAAGTCTGCATGCGTAGCCTGAGTTTATCCAAACTAGCTAAAACCCCCGAGTCTGCAGAAATGGGGCACTAGCAGAATATTCTTATTCTCTATTTACATGGCTCCAAATTATTAGCTGTTAATTGTGCTTTCCAGTTAGTGAACACAGGAGGCTAAGATTAGCACTTTCAGACTTCCCAGCAGAATGGAGTGTGATTCTTCACTGGACCGCCTGGCCTCTGCTAAGTGGGTGTTTGTGTTTGCTAACTAAAGTGTAGTGTATTTTGCAACCACCTTCTTCAGGAAGACCTAGAATGGCTTCATCTGATGGCCTAAATTGGAATAAGTGATGAGAACAAAATGAGTATGAAAGGAGGATACTAGGAGACAGAAGCAACCATACCAACTTTTCCTCTTATTTAAAACATCAAATAAAATGAAAGGCACAATCACTCCCTGAAACTGTACAAGATGCAAATTCTAATCAGATGACATGATTCTGTAATGGTTCTGCCTGCTGATCCAGCCAACTGCACCCGGTGGAATCCAGCAGAAATGTTTCACACTTCAAAGGTCTTCGCTCAGCTTAAAAGGGAACCTAAACTGTGTAAGTGAGGGGAGGAGAAGAAAGATGATTTTTGTACTGATGGAACCAACCATGATAGGCTTTGACATACCAGCACTCTGGCAGTGCCAAGCTGATGTCACCTAGAATAACTGTTTGGACACAAAGCAGGAGCACGCCCCAATGTGTGTGTGAGCATGCATATACATGCATGCCTGTAACATCTATTCTAAGGTTATTACGTTCTACTCCAGAAAAGCAGCATCATGTAATCACTGCATTCATTTTACCCAGCTTGGCAGTCACACACTGCTGCTAATATCTGATGGCGGGTTGGTGGTCCTCATAGCTCTAATCATAAAAACTCCTATGTAGGCACTGTGCATGTGCATTAGTCACAAGGTCCTCGTTACCTTTAATAACATTACAATAATAAACAATATTTCAGCCACTTTGATTATATTATTATATACAACAACAGCAAAAGCAATTACTCTACATCACTGATGCCAAATTTAATTTTCAAATCAAAGCTGGGTTTTTAAGTTGTAAGCGTCAAACAACTCCCTTTCCCCCAACAAATCTGAGGGGCCTGCTCCTGCTCCCATCAGCTTCAGTGGTGCAGATTCATACTTTAAATGAATACATTTAAGAAGGGTTGATGAAAGCTGAGAGGGGGCTCGATAAGGAGAAATTTAGGTGGACCAGTGAGAATTGAGAAGGTACATCTGGCGTTAAGAGCTGTCTCTTTCGCTTCACAAATGTCAACTATTGGCAGATTCCCCACTGTTATCATTTCACCAGTGATATCAGTTGTCAATGAACACAGGAAGACACACAACTATGGGCGTGGGAAGGGGCAGAGTTACCAAGCTTTTCTGGATTCATTGACGTCAACTATTTTCAGTCTGCGGTTCTCAAGGCTGGGTTTCCTCAAGTGAGGGCCATTCCTACCTATGCCACTATCTTTGATCACCAACCAACTGTTCACTGGGAAAATAAAACGGCACAAGAGAGACTGCTTTTAAAACAGAGGCAATTTAGGGTGACACCTCTCGGGGACAAATCTGGTGCAACCCGGTGACACCTCAAGCACATCTTCTTGCTGTACTGAAATGTGACATAAAAGAGTAGCCTGCTCAGCAATGGCATAGGGTACAAAGGGACTGTTGCATAATAATGCCAAGGCGCGTAGAAGTGTCAGCCTGTTACCCTGCAGCAAAAGCCACCATCATGTCACTTGGCAGCCTGGCACCAAAGCCCCACCTCCCCCCATGATGGCACTGCCACCAAAGCTTTGCCCCATGGCAATGCAACATCTCATCGGTCACCCTCTGCAATGCACCGTGGCGTCCAAGTGTCACCGCCCGGCAATGCACTGGGCCACCGATGGGTCATCTGGAAGCAGTGACATGAGGGCATTTAGCTGGCGCAATCACAAATAAAAGGCTGAGCTGCCCCCCTTCCCCCTGTGTCTAACTTGTTTCCCGTGAAGGGCAGAAAACAGCCTTCCAGTCCGGCCCCTGCATAATAAGGGCTTGAGAGCGGGCCCTTGGGACCAGAGCTCTGACCTCCCCAAGATGGCGTCCATAGGAGGCGTTTGGGCCTATTTGACCTTCCCAAGATGGCGGGCGCAACAGCCCGGCTAGACGCTACATAGCGCTTACCTTGACCTTCCCACGATGGAGACTAGAGGCTGCCTTTCCGCCTCTCCCAAGATGGCGGCCCTTGCTTCCTCTCTCACAGAGCGCTTCCGGCCAGGTCCCCGCTTGGGCGGCAGTTCCGGGCATGGCCGGCCTGTCAGATGCGGAGCTCGGCAGGGAGCTGCGGGCCTTGGGCTTCCAGCCGGGGCCTATCACCGACTCTACCCGCGAGCTCTACGTGAAGAAGCTGAGCCGCCTGCGGGCGGAGGGGGCGCCTAGGCCCCAGTCGGGGAAGACAGCAGCCCCCAGCATGGCCGGCCTGTCAGACGCCGAGCTCGGCAGGGAGCTGCGGGCCTTGGGCTTCCAGCCGGGGCCAATCACCGACTCCACCCGCGAGCTCTACGTGAAGAAGCTGAGCCGCCTGCGGGCGGAGGGGGCGGCCGGCCGGAGGAGCCAGAGCACAGGCAGTGCCTCCAGGCCTGAGCCGGCCTCGGCCTCCTACCCTCGCCGCAACCCCAGCCCCCTGGCACACAGGGCCCACAGCCAGGGCCGTAGGGAGAGTGAGGAGGAGGAGGAGGGCTCGGAGGAGGAAGATGATGGGTACCAGCCCCCCCGCAGGGATGTAGCAGAGGGGCTAAACCCTTGGGCCCAGCTAGGGAAGACAGCAGCCCCCGGGGGGTTTGCCCCCAGCACTCAGTGGGGGGCAGAAAGGGGGTTCAACCCCAGCTCCCAGTGCGGGACAAGAGATGTAAGGTTAGCCCCCAGGCCCCAGTGGGAGGCAGAAAGGGAGTTAGCCCCCAGGCCCCAGTGGGAGGCAGAAAGGGAGTTAGCCCCCAGCACCCAGGGGAGGACGAGGGATGTGGGGTTAACCCCCAGCACCCAGGGGAGGACGAGGGATGTGGGGTTAACCCCCAGCACCCAGGGGAGGACGAGGGATGTGGGGTTAACCCCCAGCACCCAGTGGGGGACGAGGGATGTGGGGTTAACCCCCAGCACCCAGCGAGGTGTAGAAAGGGGGTTAACCCCCAGCACCCAGTGGAGGACAAGAGATGTTGGTTTAACCCCCAGCACCCAATGGGAGACAGAAAGGAGGCTAACCCCCAGCACCCAATGGGAGACAGAAAGGAGGCTAACCCCCAGCACCCAGAGGAGGACAAGAGATGGGTGGTTAACCCCCAGCACCCAGAGTGGGACAAGAGATGGCGGGTTAACCCCCAGCACCCAGTGGTGGACAAGAGATGGCAGGTTAACCCCCAGCACCCAGGGCAGGACAGCAACAGTAGTAGGGGGATTAATCCGCAGGATCCCATGGAGGACAGGGGGAGAAGGGTTAACCTCCACGAGTCAGTTGACAGGGGCAGCCCCCAAGCAGGGTGCAGTAGGAAAGGGTAAGGGTCTGGAGTTCTACTTGTCCTGGTTCCTGTACCTGGCCACCCTGGTGTTGCTGGTGATTTTCCTGGGCATCCTCTGGGCGAAGATGATCGGGCCAGGCTGGCTTCTGGGGGCAGAGGAGAACCGTACGTGGGGGATTAAAGACTTTTTAAAATCACTTTCCCCCCTTTTCCTCTCTCCTTCTTTCTCTTCAGTCCCCTCTTGTTTCCATCCCCTCTATTGTCCATCTTCACTGCATTTATTTTTCTTCTCCCTGTCTTCATGTGTTTTCTTTGCGTCTTGTCTCCCCAATCCCTGGGGCACCTTGTTAGTCATGGAAAAATGTCTTGTGGGTGTTTTTTTTTTTTCTCAAGTGAACTTGGCTTGAGGTTCTTCAAATCCATAGATTTTTATGGGGAGTTAAATTTTCATCTAGCACTGAGGACATATTTTATGATCCTCCATCATAATGATGTACTACCCGTGTAATTGCCCATCATCTGTTTTAATGTCATTTTCTACAAAGCACAGTCATCCAGTGTCCTTGATCTTGACCACTTCAAAAGTACAAGACTTGAAATTGCCTTCTGCTGCTACCTCCAAGAACATTTGAGCTTAAATATGCAAAAAAAGTGACATCCTATATCCCTACTGTAGCAGATTAAATTCACAGAAATGTTCTGTTTGGTTCCAAAATGAAGGAAAAGGGTATGTGGAAGGAGGTTGCAAAGTGTGGCTGCCAAAACACAACACGGGTGAGAGTGTTTTGTTCATTGACTAGGTGAGCACGCTGCCCTGTTTTCTCAAAGTCGGTGAATACTGCAAGAGCATAAAACATCTCTTCTCCTAGAATTATTTGCAAAATGGTTTGTAAACTCCAACCTATTTGCCTACTGAACAAAATTCCTTGTTTCTGCCCTGATGTGTATGTTACTAATTTGGGTTTCGATATGGCCTACTTTAGTTGTTTCAATAGCACTGTTTGACTAGTAAGGTAATACTCAATGGGATGAATGGTAGAAGAATCAGATGCTTTAAAAGTAGCTATTTTTAACTACTGCTTTAATCACTAGTTATTTTCTCTGTTGAAGTTTTTATTTTCCAGCTGACTAATCCTTATTTTCTTCTCTCTCTCAGTTAAACTGTTAACTGTGGATTGTGAGACAAGGACAGATGATGTAAGTGTAAATTTAAAGTTGTTTTTAAAAAATCCATACTGTAGGGACAGACATCTCACAGACAGTTAACTATTCTAGCAAATTTCACAAATCAGTTACTGTCAATATCACTGCCAAATAGCCTGTATCATTTTACAGGAGGAATTTAGTGGTTTACCAAAGTCAGATTTAATAGGCTTTTTTTTTTTTTGCAGGCCAGACTAGATTGTGACTGTATAGAAGAATCTGAAAGTTGTAGATTTAAGCTACCGAAGATCTGAATCACTTGGTGTTATTTTCTTTAGTTAATTGTAACATAAGTGACTTTGATTTGTGACAGATTTTACCTATGTAGTCAGTTTTTCTAATAGAAGCTTTAATAAAGCGAAATCCCTAATCTCTGTTGAGATGTGTTTATGCAGTTCTGATTTATTCCATAATGCACTATTGAGAGAGACATACTTCTGTATCAAAGTCAGAGTGGTGAGATATGCTGGTAAATTGATAGTTGGTCTCTTGTGATGTTCTGGGGAAGTATATCATAAATCTATTTACTGTACCTGAGTTTGAAGGAACTGCTTCCTCAGCTGCTGTTGGAGTAGAAGGCTATGATGTTTGGGACTTGGAGGTATTTGCATTTCACAGGAGGCGCTCAGCAATTTACAAGATTAGGTCCTGAGACTTTTTGCCTCAGTAATCCTGTATTTTAATTTTACCAGGTGAAGTAGAGCTCAACTGAACATACACTTCTATTAGTATTTTATTTTTGTATTTTGGCTGATCTAATTGCTATCTTGTTGCTATTGATGCATTGATGTTTATTTTTGACTTTCAGTTCTGTCAAGCTAAACAGAAGGACATGTTAATGACCATGCTGTATGAATTATATAACTACCTGGCAATACAAGCTGGTGAGTTCTGATTGTCATTATAAAGCACTTAGGAGGGTTCAGCAAACTGCATCTCCCAGCTGGCTGGACATTTTCCTTGTGCAAATGACTTGAGGGGCACTGAGAAAGCAGGCAAAAGGTGAAGAAAATGTTTTCTTTAAATGTGAATTGTGCTTTACTAATGCACTTCTGTCACTGCCAAGGTATCTGTGTTTGTATGGAGCTGTTATTTGCGGATCATCTATTGGGAATTTGAGATGCAAATACTCTAACTTTTTTTTTTTTTTACCCCAGTGCCTCAAATGCTTTGCAAGATACCAGAGTCCAACAGCAAAGCTTTTCCATATGTTTATATAAAACATTGGCTTAGAACGCTGGCCAAAACAGTCCAACCAGACATTAGAATACAAGTGGCTGCCCAGGTCAATGACTAATGGTTTCATGTTGGAGAAGGAAACGCAGTTAGAAGTTTCTTATATCTTCTCATTATTCAGTCAAGCAAATCTTATTAATATTGTGCTAATGCGTAGAATTGTCAAAAGTGCTTGAGTTACAGTTTGAAAAGTGATTTAGTAACTTAGGAGCCCAACTCCTTTACATGCTCAGTGAGTCTTATGCTCTCAAGTGCCTAAATCACTTTGGAAAATTGTACTCAGTAGCATAGTAGCAGTTATTTAATCAATATGTTCAGACTTCTTTTCAAGTCAGGTTTTCATGATTTGAGTTTGTGGACTTTCCTCCAACATTTGCCTTTGTTCTAGTAGAAGGTTGAAGCAGGGAGGTATGCTCCACTGTAACATTGATCAGTCAAGTTGAACATCCGCCATACCTGATGGAAAGTGTTCCTAGTGCATTTGGCCAAATGCGCAGTTTTGTAGTGTGAGATGGCGGTATTCTTCTTGGCTCCTGTGGTGGGTAGCATATACCTTGAAGCAATAGATTTGATTGCCCTTATCTTAGGCCAGTGGTTCTCAAACTTTTGTACTGGTGACCCTTTCACATAGCAAGCCTCTGAGTGAGACCCCTCCTTATAAATTAAAAACACTTTTTTTATATATTTAACACCATTATAAATGCTGGAGGCAAAGCGGGGTTTGTGGTGGAGGCTGATAGCTCATGACCCCCCCCCGATATAAGAACCTTGTGACCCCCTGCGGGGGCCCAACCCCCAGTTTGAGAACCGTTGTCTTAGCCTATATACAATAGCTACAAATTTTATTAAAGGTCATAACATTATCTGGCTAAAATATTTAACTCCAATCTTCTGTGTAAGCATTTTGGCTACAGCTAAAACTGATTTAAAAGAATAACGCTTCCAGATCGTTCAGGGCATTTCCTGATTGTCTAAGAGTTAGATGGAAACAACCCTGAAAAAAATCCATTTGACTTGTTTTCTAGGTAGTTTTGAGTGTGGAAACCCCGAGAAGCTAAAAAGTAAATGCATTCTGGTTAGTGAAGCAAAGGATTATGTGGCGGTAAGTAGGATTGGAATGAGTGTTAATTGTTGTGTATTGTAGTTAATTTCTTTCTGTCTGTTATTTATTGCTTATAAAACAATGTACCATCTGGTTCATTTCTTCATCCTGTTCTGAGTCTTTCCAATCTTTCCAGCTGTTCCTTTGGCCAGTCCTGTTCTCCGCATTTCTTTCAGAAAACAATCTTCTACTCCATCTCTCTGACAACACTGATTTAGCTGTTGTAAATCTAACTAATGATTGTTCCTTAGTTGTCAGTCTTCTGA